AATATCGTTATGACATATTTTTTGTTATCTAGATTGGTTATAACGTGGTTCAAAAAGTCCATTGTGTCGCTCTGTGTGTTTGATTGCTTTTGGAAGCCATACTGGAATCTGTCCAGCTCAACATATTTAGTAAGAAAACAATTTACCCTTTTTTTTATTATAATTTCTAAGAGTTTCGACAATGCACATACTACAGTTATGGGACGATAGTTTTCTACTTTATTTTTTGATCCTGCCTTAAAAATAGGAGTGATTTTACCAATTTTCAAAACATTAGAGAAGATTCCAGTTGTGAACATTTTCTTGACGAGTTTGACTAAGATGGGTATAATAAGTTCTTGAACTAATAGTAGGTTTTTTACAGTTATATTATCTTGACCAGGAGCAGCATTTATATTCATTTCATTTAATGCTTCATTTATTTCATTATCGTTTGTTTCATGTAGATGTATTGAATTTGCAATAGTAATTTCTTCAAAGATATGTGTAGGTGGTGTATTTGCTTGATGAAGGTTAATGCTGTGTACTATTGATTGACCTACGTTTGAAAAATGTGAGTTGAAAGCATTTACAATTTCTGTCTTATCTGTTATGAGAGTGTCATCTATCTCAATTGCCTCTATTTCTAAATGTTTTTCCCCCCTTTAATTAGAGAATTTATGAACTGCCACTGCTTCTTGGGATTATTACCTGCTTGGATGTTTTCTAATTCATCTAATTAGCGAGAAATTTCATCTCGACAATTGAAAAAAAAAGGAAAAAAACCAAGCATGCCACTTTAAAACAATTCAAATGATTGAACTACGCCCTGTGTCCGGTTTTCGAGCTCCACCATGGGGATTTCAGTTATTATAAGTAATACGAGGTCGGTTGAATTAGGCAAAGTTGCGCATTTTCATGCTGAACATTTATCAGCCAGGATATTTGATATGTCATTTTTAGTTTTATATTATTGGAAGAAAACAAAAATTTATAATTTTCGTTTTTATTTTTTCAAGCGGAAACCAAAAAAACCTAGACGTTTCTGACTGGAACATTCTAAAGGCACTTTTTCACAAGGAATCTGAATCTGTCATTGTATTTTCCATGACGTTCTTGATTCCAAAGTTACAACACTCAACTTTGTTTTTTCTGTGGGCGCCATATTGGATTTTTGCATTTTTGAAGTATTTTTTTCTCTGATTACAATGGAAAGTTTTCTCTCAAACAGGTCTCTCCATGTAGTGGTCGACGGAATTTCATCTGACTCTTATCGTAATTGCTGGTGTTCCGCATGGATCATTTCTAGCACCAACACTGTTTCTAATCCAAATCAACGATTTTGTTAGAAGCAACTTCATGTCCAGTACACAGCTTCTTCGGGGATGATAGTACCCTCTATACCGCCTTCTCTTCCAAGGTTCCAATACCAGCCAGGCAAATCAGAAACGAATGAGGGAGAAATGTTGACAACATAAATATGGACTTGACAACAATTCTATCAGCAATAACCTTTCTTGGGAAAATCACATGAGATCAATTGCTAAAAGCGCATCCCAAAAACTTGGTGTTCTGTTTCGGGCCAGGAGCTATATCACTTCCAGTCAGCTGCTTCTATATCTATCTATAAGGCACAGATCCGACCTGCCCTGGAATACTGTTCCCATATTTGGAGTGCAGCACCCAAATTTACCCTGAAACTGTTGGATTCTGTCAAAAAAAGGGCAATTCGTCTCGTGGGTGATGCCTCGCTCACAAACTCACTCACTTCTCTGGAACACCGTAGAAAAGTTGGCGATCTGGCCCTATTTCATAGATATTTTTATGGACGATGCTCTTCTGAAATATCAACAATTGTTCCTTCCTTTGGCAGTCCCTGCGAGATTAACCGTCGAGTTGAGGCTTCGCACCCATTCGTGGTCACTTCGGAGACCTGCAGAACATCTCTTTCCAAAGACTCGTTCATCCAACGAATAGCGAGGCTCTGGAACACATTACCAAGGGAGGCATATAACCTCGAGAAATTTAAGAAGAACACCAATTCCTACCTCATATCCCTTAGTTCTCACGATGTTCTCTGAACATTACAAGATATCCCTTTTCGTGGGAACCAGAACATAAAAATAATGTAATTTCATGAACTACAGAAAAAATCAATTAGCGGGCGTTATGATCCATAATGCCCTCCATAAAGCCCCGGGCGTTTATGGTTCTGTTAACCCATTAGATACCACTAACAAACTCACTTGAAACAAATATTTTTTTTCTGTTGAAATATGTTTATTGGACCATAAATATCGATATTATAAGAAAAAGAATGAGTGTTCTCAAACAAATATAAAAAAAATTGCATTGCGTTTTCGCAATATTGGCAGGTTATGTTATAACATCGAGTTATTTTTCATGATACAAGGTAAAACACTTAGAGTGCAAGAATACTCTACACTTTGTACAAAAATAATATGTAGTGCTCTTGCAGAATTTACATGTTCTTCTCAGATTTTGCGGATGTTTTTCTTTCAAATGTCCAACATTATCGAATCGAACTTCGTCAACTGGTTTTCCAGACGCACGTCCTCTTTGAGAGTTGTTGGACTTTCCACATTTGCCTTTCAACAATAATTCATGCACCAATTGAGATCTGAAATCAATTTGTGATCGTGGTCTCTCAGAGTGCACTAATCTGTCTAGCTTCCATGCATTGATTGTAGCACTGTCAACTAGGTTTGAAAAAAGTGGCCACCACCATTTTTTTTCCTCGAATTTTTATTCGGTAGTTTGCTATCCCATTATCATGCAAATCTACGCCTCCCATGTGAGTATTGTATTTATGTATCATATTTGGTTGATCCACTTGATTGTCTTTTCTTTCTTTACGGTTGAAACGTTTCACTTGCACAACTGGTTGTACAGATTCACAATTGGACATGACGGTCACGACTGAATTGTCATTCCAGCGTACCAAACTGATTTCATTGAAATGATCACATCGTGTAACGAAAGAACCTCTCTGTTTTTTCTTCAGAGATTTAGATGGTTCCACAGGACATTTGGCCACGCGATTCTCTCAAACAGTACCTGCGAAGAAACTCAATTTTTTCAGATGGACCATGAGTGCGTGACTCGTGAAGAAATTGTCGAAAAAAATTCTATGAGCATTAGGCTCTGTGATTATACTCAACAGATCTACTACAACACTCCCACCAAGTCCGAGTTCAGGATTACGTTGCTCCGCCGTTTTACCACCATATGGTATGAACTTGAACAAGAAGCCGTCACTTGAAGTCAAACACCAAAGTTTGAAGCCGAATCTCACAGGCTTATTTTTGATAAACATTTTTGCAGAATGTTTACCATAATAAGGTACCATTTGTTCGTCTATTGATAAGTGATGTTTGAAAACTCCAAATTGCGAGTAGTTTTTATTCATAAGATCGAATATAGGCCTGAGTTTTGCGAATTTGTCGTCTTTGTCAAGTTCATTATTATTCGCAAGATGTAGATTCTTTTTTTATGCTGAGAAAACGATTCCTCGACATACTGTCTTTTATAATTTGCACTCCCTTATCTGCATCTGAAGACCAGTACATACCAGTTTGAGGAAGAGTATGATATCCGCTCAGTATCAGGATTCCCAAGAATTTCTCCAAATCCTCTGTGTCCAGCGTGAATTCTGGTCTATTATAATCTGCAGCGTAGATTTTCGAGTACCGAATGATTGCTTGCATGACGTCTTCATCAAAAAACATTCTAAACAAATCAAGTGGGCTTTTTCCATGTAAATCTTCGGATATCCTCTTTATATCATCGACTTCATGCGATTGAGGAATTGACTCGTAATCCTCATAATCAATTGGGGTCTTACTCCACGTTACCTCTTTCTGCTGTTCTACTCGAATAACTTTTTTAGATTTTCTTCCCTCCTGTATCACTCCTTCCGTGATTTCTTCGACTTGGCTAATATTCTGTACGACTTCAATGTCATCTATTTCTGCTCTGATAATTTCATATGTTCCAGCAATCTCTCCTGGTATGTCTAGTTCACCAGTTGCATCATCGTCGAAATCTTCTTCATCAGTAAGCCCATCCACATCTGGAGGAATATTGGCTATATCAATTTCATCATCATTTCGTAGATCAAGGTTATCAACAATTTCTTCCAACTCCCTCATACTCAAAGCTCTATTACTGGATTTATTCTGAAAATATATTCACCTAAATAATGAACATAATTTGTCCCTAATGGAAAATACAACTTACCATAATGTATATAGCTTCGTCATCGAACGGCAATAACAAGAATTGATTCAACTACACGTGCTCACTAGCGTTTGTTTACTGATGTAAAAGAATGAATTCGCGATAGAAAGTAAACGTACGCCATCTATGGAGGTTCCTGAAAGTTATCAACCTGGTCTGTTTGCATTTGGTTTTCAATTGTGCTATTGGTCACACCCATTACCGTCAGGTGGTGTTATATTCTATCGCGAATAGTCACAGCACGTCTTGCCAATATTGCGTTTTCGCAACCTCAAGATTTGACGTACAAATGCTGACATATAGTAATTTTTTTCTTGTCTTTCTCCACACATCCTGTTTACTACATCCATTAGTTCTCGTTCGGAGCTCCAAGTAGAATTTTAAATAAAAACATAAAAAAGTTATGTGATACTATGTCGGCGATGCCAAAAAATGTCAAAAATGACTAAATCCAAGTTCATACAAAATTGAACATTCTTGATTTTTCACGAAATAAAAAATATATTGAAGTAGTGCAATCCTTTGTTCATCAGCACCCAATGTTCAATAATCCATTCATCAACAAAAAAGTGTGAGAAAAAAATTGTGTTCATAATATTGCGTTAACGCAATATTGGCAAAAGATGGGTTTTAATAGCAACCAGTGCCTAGGTAATATAATCCAGTAATGGACAAGTGAAAAATAAAATCTTATGTCTGTATAGCAACACGGCGGAGAGTCAATACTGTTATAATAATCGCAATTTCTTCCTTTTTTTTTCAGAATGATATTGGAGCCCAAGTTCGTCGACTATGGCAGCATCCATACGAGCGCAGCATCAGCAGACGGGGCCATCATCAGTCAGCATCAGCATCAGAACGGCTTGCTGAGTCCGAGATCAGCGGCCCTTCTTCCCGCCATCGACGACGAACTGCCCAACACCTCCAGCGCGAATAAAATGGCACAAGGTACAGGGTGTTCGATAAGGTTTATATACAGTGCTTTCGTACAGTAGGTACTGAATAAACTTTTTCGTCGACCTCTACAAAAAATCACATTTTACTTATTATTTTCCTATCGAAAATAACCGACTATTTCCGAAGGCAAGTACTTTTCGTCCGCAAACACTTCGTCCGTTGCATGGTTGCCAGTTCTACTGAATTTTCAATAGACATCCTGATTTGCATATTGATCTACTGAAAAATTTCATAATCTACTGAAAAATATTTAGACACGTATTCATTATTATAATTACCCATATTATTAATCTTCAGTTAATCACATACACTTATGAATTACGCGGTCTGTTAAAATTAATTTCAAAAAATGGTTAATTAATGTACCGGGTGATTCATTAAGGGTAGCGAGGTACCATATCTCAGGAACTAGAAATCGTTCGAGGTTGAGAAAAAAATTCTATCGAGGAAATCGACCAAGGGAAATTGCTGGAAATAGTTTTTTAGTTTCTATATCTACCGCTGGAGGGCGTAATTGCTATGGTCGTATGTATCATTCCATTCAAAATTTTGGGGTAAAATCAAAAAATTCAGAAATATTTTAATAAGGCCCCCTAGTGAGTGCAGCTGGAACCAGCATGACACTGGTGTTCCTTTAATTCAATCAACAAACATTAATCTCTCGAACGAGACAAGTTTGCTGAATTCCGTTCAGTCAAATCAAAGGTATAGGTATTTTAGTCAGGAAAGGTTCAACCTCGTCTACCGCCGTTATTTCACATCGTACGAAAAGAAGTGTAGGAACACAGATGCACTATTTCAACAGCATTAGCGTGATAGCTTCTGTTCCTCAGCTCATGTTGAAAAATTCGCTGGAAAAATCAATTTTTTATACGACCATAGCAATTACGCCCTCCAGCGGTAGATATAGAAACTAAAAAACTATTTCCAGCAATTTCCCTTGGTCGATTTCCTCGATAGAATTTTTTTCTCAACCTCGTACGACTTCTAGTTCCTGATATATGGTACCTCGCTAGCCTTAATGAATCACCCGGTACATATAGGTACTAATGTATCAACCAAAAAAGGACAATACTAAATTTTTTATATACCTCAGTTAGTTTCTTACGTTCAATTTTTTTATTTGTTTTGATATTTTCCTTGTTCAGTCTCACTATTTGTTCCGGTTTTTTATGTACTCAAATCTTATAAGTACCTATGTAACTGTATATTATGATATGTGTGAGTATTTTATTGAGAATCAGGAATATGATAACCTTTGTATGAGAATGTTTGTTTTGTTTGTTTCTATTTTGTTGGAAATAGGTTACTTTTCTGTTTACTAAAAGTACATAATGTTTTGATGTGATATGTTTACTTCATTATCCTTTCTTGGAATTCGTATAGCATGAAATAGATCCTAAACAGATCTATTGAAACTGAATTTTTGACAAGGTATTCACCTCGGTATTTACTGATGGAATAAAAATAGAAATGGCGACCCTGGTCCGCGCGGAGATTGCTGTTGTCAAATTACTTATTCACGAAATCCGATAGATTTCACGTGTGAACAGTACTGTTATGTGAATATAAATGTGAGGTCGACGAAAAAATGTAGTATGCACCTCGGCAGAGAACTGTCTATTGTCTTGCCTGAATGCTAGCCTCGGCTATCAATTTACAGCCTCGGCTATAATCGAGGCTATAATAGACCGTGTTTCGTCCTTCAAAAACTGAAAACATGCTTCATTGAAATAATCAACTACAACAAAAGTAAACATGTAATTCACTACAACAAAATAAGTTATTTGTTGCGTCCTATCTTTAGATAGACTAATTCTGGTAGTATTGAATCGTGCATTTTGGTTGCGCAGAAGACTAGAACGTCAATATCATTCGTGGTCGAGTCACTGAATAGCAAAATCAGTAATTAATTTGCGCTTTCTTAGTGCACACCTTATGTTTGGTGACATATTTGTCATAATCAAGATAATCAGAGACTCACCAGTCCCAAATAACGTATTCTAATATTCTGATTGTTGGATATTTGGTGTCCGCCAAAATTTGTTTTCACCCGTCGTGAAAATGTATCTTCTTTTTTTTTTTCATTAAAAGTATCCTATACCCTTTCTAATACATCTTAGAATATGTATACAAAATTTTTATTTGGCGTGAAAGCCTGACAAACAAACTTACATTCACATTTATTATATTAGTACATGTACTTCCTCATGCAATACGATAGCCATTTTTCACACCAGTACAACAGTACAACAGTCGTGGACAAATAATTGATATAACAGGTATTAATAATATTTAGTTTTCTTAATGTCTAATAAGTTATGATAATACAGTTATTTAAAATAAATTTATATATCAAAGACAATAGTAGTCGTGGACAAAGTATAGTATTCTACTCGCATTATTGAATAATATACCATTTTCTATCACTAGCTATAGAACCCACCATTATTTACTCATTTTCAAGGCGTAAAAGGTGTTTTCACTACCAAGGTAGTTTTTCGATGTTTTATGAACTGCTAGTCAATAAAAACAAAGCTATAATAGCTATAATTAACCAGAATCCACTGTTCTGATGCTATACTCGCAATCGAATCTAGTAGTTATTTATAAATAAGGACATGTCCATATGCTGGCATGGGCATGACTAATAATTTCAATCATGATTGAAAAGAAATGTTTTCATAGTGACATAGGTCCATATATCAGTTTAACAGAACTAAAATAATTGAAATATATTGCTATTAGTATATTATGAAACAAGTGTTACAAATGTAATTTTAGTAACGAGTATTTTAGGCACGCTTTACATACTATTCTTTCTCTACGACCTAGAACTCATAATTCGTCTCTTCGACAAAGTCCCATAATTCCGAAAATTAGAATAATCTACCTAAATTTGTTGAAAATTCTTCTACCACGGACCAATGTCCATCCTTTATTAATATCATCTTCACTCTGAACGTCAAATTCTGATAGTTATTGTTGTCCAGTCTCGAGAACGCAAACTTTACTCCTTCAGCATTCATGATTAGTATTTACTAGAGTGGCTACTACGTTCTTCGTGTGTTGAACGAGTCACGCAATCAATATTACCAAAACTTGCCTAGCTTTACAGTTTATTTTCGTATCGGCTCTGGGCCCATATCCTATTGTTATGTTGATTGAAAATAAAATAACAAGTTTTGATGGCTTCTTCATTTATTAACTTTTCTACAGGCGACGATGTCTCTGGACATTCAACCTTTTTAATATATTAATTATTATTTATGACAGTTTTGACAGTGACAAGTTTCTGATAGACTTGACAGACTTAAACTTGACCTGATAGACATAACAGATATGAAATGGATTCATAGACCATAAAACAACATAATAGACAATTCATGGATTATAACTTGCAACAGAATTGAGAACATATACATAATACACGTATAAATGATATTGGTTGTAGATGTGTCCAGTCCATACTATGGACTCTTTGATTCGCTGGCGTTCAAAGATTTCGATTTCTCAGGTTGGTACACATATTCTGATTATTAATTTTTGCTCACATTTATTGTCATGCTTAGCATAGAATAAATTCCCCACAAAGATGAGAGCTTCATTTTCACATAGAGTTCTAGGAAATATGGAAGTATCTACCTACCTAAAACATTCTTTTCGATTTCACTTTCGTCTATATTTCGCATACAGTTTCAATGAAGAATTCCGATACAAACAGAAATTGTTTGAATAACTCTGATTGCAACAAAATTCGAAAATGACAGTTGACAGGACTCGACCTACTGAAGGTGTGTTTGAGAAACTGTGTCGCCATGGTAATGTGTTTAAGAAATTGTGTTGCCATTGTTACCTTTTTTATTTCTTTGAATAAATCACAGATCCTCAATCCGTGATTAATCGATCATTTAGCGTGGTACATATCCGCACGCTAAATGTCGTTTTAGTTATGTGAGTAGGAAATAGTATATTATGTAACAAGTGTTATAAACGTCCTTTTAGTAACGAGTTTTTTAACGAGAGGTGCAGAGTGGAGCGAGTGTTTAATAAACGAGTGTCTAGAAGAGTTTATAAACGCTTTATATACTATGCTTTCTCTACGAAAATTACATTAACATATCTGCTATTCCTGCTAACCTACAAAATAATTCGAAAGGAATGTGAATTGAGAACATAATACATGCAACTGCATGCAACCAACGAGACACGAATAAGTGATATTGGTTGTAGATGTGTCCAGTCCATTGCTTATTAACCTTTGTTTCACGTTCAATGTCATGCGTAGCGCAGAATAAATGAATTGTTCTCAAAGATGAATGGTTTATGTTTACACTCCTTGGAGAGATGCAAGAACCAGAACATACTCTTCGATTTCACTTTCGTCTACATTTCGCATATATTTTTAATAAAGAATTCTGATATAAACGAATATTGTTTGAATAATTCTGATACAAAATTCGAAAATGACAGTTTACAGTTAATACAATTGACAGGCCAGACATATCTCAAATTACTGAAGCTGTGTTTAATGAACTGCGTTGCCATGGTAATGTGTTTAAGAAATCGTGTTGCCATGGTAACGTGTTTAATATTTTGAATAAATCACAGATCGACAATCCGTGATTAATCGATCATTAAGGTTGAGAAACGCGACAAAACTCGCCTATACCTGAGGTCCGGGGGGGTTAGGAAGAGATAGCAGTGGGCGGTTACAAAACAGTCATAAATCAACAAGCATCCTTTTTAGAAAAGGACAACTCACCCGGTTCGCCAATTAGTCGGGGTGATTACCGCGTCCGAATATTTATTTATATTGCCAATAATCTGCCTAGCAGATTCCTAGCGAAATGTATTCTACCTATATTCATCGGGTAATCCGGTCATAGAATCTAACTTGATAACACCTTGATTGTGTTATATCCTTGGTTATATCCATTACGTTTACATATGTTATCAAGATTTACGACACTCTTCATTGTTCGAGAGGT